TCGGTGAGCAGTTATACACCCTCGTCCACGGTATGACGGGGGAGAAAAATGGCGACGTTCGCCTCGAGGCTATGCCTGCAGTAGATGCGCTTCTAGAGCTTGCCAAAATGTCCCTTGAAAAGTTCGGCAGTGCCTTGAAGGCAGGTGAATTCCCCGATGTGGTCATCGTACGACCGGACGAGGAGATAAACTCGTCATCGCTTCTAAATGAAGCTGTCTTGGAAGACACCAAGAAAGTGCTGAACGCACGAAGTGGTTCGTCGATCCTACGGAACCCCTTGGATCCATACTATCCTTTGGTAAAAGATTTGAGACGTCGCCCTTGGTCCAACTCTGAACTGAGGTGTGCGTCATGAGATCGACCTGGTTCCGAGAACCAAATACTACGTAACACGCCAAATGCTCCCTGCCAAAGGAGCAGTGCGACGTCATTGACGCCTTTTTCCATGCAGAGCACGACGCAGGGATGGTACGTGAGAGCAAGTCTCCCCATTCGATACCCACGTTCTGTGTTCGGAAGCCGAACGGCAGGTGGCGTATCGGTTATGCTTACAATAAGCTCAACGCTGCCACCATTCCAACACAGGCGCCGATTTTTAGAAAGAATGTTCTTCTGAACAACATCGTGGAATGTATGAAGTACAGTGCACTCGACTTGGTCGATGAGTATACCAATTGCTCATGAGAGCGAGTGATATTACGCTAACAGCGGTGAGCACTCCGAGCGGCATGCTCTGGGAGTGGCTGGTGATGCTCCAAGAGGTGTCAAATGCACCAGCAACATTTAGTCGTCTTGTGACGCAGTGGCGCTTGCCCCACAAGGCGTATGCACAGACATACTTTGACTACATCTTCGTGCACAGTCTTGCGGAGCACGGGAGGACAGATGAGGATAATCACATCGTCCATTTAAGAGTGGTGCTCGAGTGCATGCGCACGAACAGTTGTATGCCAATGCAGACAAGTGTATCTTGGCGCAGAAGAAATTCCCTTTTTAGGGTGCTTCATTGGGAAGCGTGGCCTTCGAGC